ACGTCCCAAAAAAAATTTCGACCAAGTGTTGGTTAATATCTTGGANAGATTTTTGGTCATTTTTCAATGCGTTGTTGAATTGAATTATGTCAAAAATTTTGTCCAAGATTATTATGCGTTCAACGGCTCTCACGCAACCATTGTGCATGTGCCTCCTTTTGCGGATTGAGAAACTACGTCGAGGAGGTGCGAAACAGTCACCATGGATTCCAAAATCGTTTAATTCAGTCTTTATCTCATTCATTAATTTCACTTTTTGAAACTCAACAAAATATAACTCTCACATTTTTTTCTCTTTTTTTCTCAAAGTAAATCTTGAGAATATTTTTTTTTCTTTCCTCTGAAAAAAAATGTCGATAATATATTATAGATTGTAAGTTCACAGATTTTGTTTCGANTGGTGCTAAACAATCACCATGGATGTATCATGGGATTCCAAAATCGCTTAGTATAGTCAAACTAGGAACGATTTATAGAGTTAAAAAAAANAGATCAAATCTCGACTCTGTCTATTTTGTAAAAAACGTTTTAAGAATTTGTTTATACGCTTCCTTGAAAATCTATGTTTTAATCGCTTTACAAATTTTATAAAGCAGTCTTCTTACAGTAACCATTTATAGAAATCACGGGGTGGAGAGAAAAGAAGATAAATANTTTCCCAATATTATAACGGAAACACCTTTTGAGTATCGTGACTACAAAGGAAATAATATACCCAAAATTTAGAAATCTCAACTTAAGATACTAAAACTTGGGATGAGATTAGGACAAGTTTGGCTGCTTATCTCTATGATTCTTTCAATAGTTTTTCCAGAGCCATGTGGTCTTTGCAGAAGCGACAAATGAGTCTAGAGGATGTGGAGGATGTACCAGAAGAACGTTGTATCCATCAGATATACGTCACAGAGGATGAGCATTACATTAGCCGGAGCTGGATTATGCCTTCGNCAAGACCGTATTTGATTGGGAAAATGTAAACGAGACGGTCGTGCTTCAAAAACTAATAAGGCAGAGTTGAATCTAAATATGAGTGTCTTAATTACTTGTACTATATATAGTTAAAAAGATTCAGAGATAAGGATAAGAAGATTGACTGTAGTCGATATGGACGTGATTAAGAACAATTCCCCGGGGAGAGAGAGCTTTCTTGACAGAAGGAGGGATGTGATTCATGTTGCCATAGGCAGATATGGAGATTGGACCATTGTAGTTCAACTTACTCAGCGCGGACTTTATTTTATCAGCGATTTCTTCAGCTTTACAATCCTTTGGTACCGGACAATTGTCTATGTCCCAACAAACCCACGTTGGGGCCTCCTCGAATCTAGCCTCATTCAAGTCTTGAAACATAAAAAGAAAATCAATCACAAGTGAATAAACATGAATAGTCTTCTAGCACAACTGAGTGAAATAACAAGGGTTTTAAAAATTATAACATAAATTACGCAGAGAAACAAAAATCCCAAAACAGTACTATCATGGAGAGACAACAGGGATGAGAACATACCCTCCTGACGTTTGTATCTCCTCCATCGAAAAGAACGTAAGTCCTCCATGTCAAAGGATTTAGGGTTTTTCTTTTCCTCTGCGTGATGTGATTTAGGATTTAGGGTTTTTTCCAATTTATTTGTGTCATGTTTCTGTTACTTGAGGGGGAAGCCAGGCCCCGGTACGGCCCTTCTTTAAAATGGGCTACTCCAATAAGACCCATTTAAAAACAACTTTTGATTAATCACGTGCCTAGCACGGTAAATAAGTGTAGGCTTGGTCTTAAAAGTATAAGAATAGAGAAGAAGAACCCTAACTAAACTTCTCTCTTTGTGTGATCAGCGACGATGAAGAGTGGAGAGAAAAATTCAGATCGGATCCCTTGATCTCATTAATGAAATACTATGGAGATTGCCTGTAAAGTCCATCGCTAGGTTTCTTTGCGTATCGAAGCTATGGGAGTCCATACTTAGCCGTCCACGTCTCTTATTCGCACTCAAACGAGCCAACGGTGAGTTAATCTTCTTCTCCTCGCCTCAGCCTGATCACAATCGATATGAGAAGTCGTATCTTGTAGTGAACGCTGATTTCTACATGAAGTTCTCTCAAGACATCTACCCAGACTTTCGTGCAGGCCTTACCTCTGGTTTGATCTATTTCTCTGGGATGAGTATCTCAAATAAGGATTATAATGATATGCGTAGGATATATAACCCTAGCACAGGACAATATGTGCCTTACCTAACCTAAGTAGGTATAGAAAGTTCTATAGTTTTTTAGGGTTTGATCCGATTGACAAGCAATTCAAGGTATTGTTCGTGGCTTATCCATATTGCTCTGATGATCATAGAATTCTGAAATTAGGAACTGGAAAAAGAAAGTGGAGGAAGATGAAATGTAGCATAAAACATGAGGCTTTGTGTGAAGGGATATGCATCAATGGGGTTTGGTACTACTTAGCTGAAGTGGCCAAGATTTGTGGTGTAACGTATGCTGGCTATGATGATGATGACCAAACGTACTATGTGATAGTGTGCTTTGATGTTAAGTCTCAGAAATTCGAGTTTGTTGATGCCAAATACTTTTCTGATCCACATACTTCTAAATTGATAAACTATAAAGGTAAATTAGGTGGGGGTTGATTTGACGTATGATGATAGTGATGCCATTGAGTTGTGTGTGTGGGTTCTAGAGGATGTCGAAAAACAGGAATGGTCGAAGTACGTCTACACTTTGCCGGAGAGTCAAGTCCGTGTCTACAATGTTTTTGTCGTTGGAATGACTGCGGCTGGTGAGATTGTTTTGTCGGAGAAGCATACATCTAAACAGTTTTATTGTTTTCTACTTCAATTCTGAGAAGAGAACTCTCCAAAGTGTTGAAATCCGAGGTGTTGAAGAACATCACGAAGCATTTGAGTCTGATTGCAAAGTTTATGCCTTTGTAGACTTTGTAGTGTATTCTAAATTTATAGCATAAGAGTCTAGCTAGTTTTCGCTGTGAGTGTGACTTTTCATTCACAGGTCTTGTGTTAGCTTTATCAGTCTTTTGGGTTTTCACATGCACTTTATTTGGGAGCTTTGCTTTGTGTTTTTGTAATGATAAAGTTTTCGATTAGCTTCAACTGGCCGCTTGAAATTGTTGTACTCTCAAACATTGGAAAAAATGTAATAAATAAATCAAATAGAATTCAAAACATTACTAAATGCTTCTGAGATTTTTCACCCTGTTTCAATATAATTAGGCTTTTAAAAACTGTAGCTTCGCCAAACTGTTGTAACAAAGTATTTCTGAGATAGTTTGCTATCTCATGGAACATAAAAGTTGAGCTTCTCTTGCTTCGAAAAACATAATTCTCACAAAATTTTGCAAATGAGCACATTTAATTGTAACGACTAACAAAAAACGTTTGACGAAAGATGCAAAATTTTGTTGTTTTAATTAAACGGGCTCGTTTTGCAAATTTTTGTGATAATTTATCAAAAATTACCACCACTGGGGGATTGAACATCCAAATCGATACGCAAGAATAGACAAGAGAAAGAAAAACCTGCTCAAATTCTCACAGGATGATTAATCGGCCCCCTTATTGAATCGTGGTGTCTTGGATCTTTTGGCAACTATGGAAAGCTCGAAACTGTCTCATCTTGGATCTTGGATCTTCAATAACATAGAGTTTACAAAGCAAGAGGTCGGCCTGAAAATTTTGTGTGATGCACGAAATTGGCAAGAGGCACAACAAGGTGTCAAGACGATTTGCAACGCTTCGGCCAAGGCTCATCCACAAGGTCCCGATCAGAACACCACAACCGGTTTTGTGGATGCTGCTTCAAAATTTTGTGGATGATGCAATCCAAAAAAGCAACACTAATTAACATGTGTTATCAACTGAATGTGATAATGATGCACTCAAGAATATTATAGTCATTACCGTGGTAAATTTGTCCACTAGTTAATCAAAACCGTAGTATCACTCTCGACATGATTAGTGTTTTCTTTGTTAGGTAATTTTGCTAACTAAACATTATTTTATTGAACGATGCGATCTCTGAGTCAAGAATCCACATATTAAGTTAGGTGCTATTTGTTTGTTGATTTTAATTAATACTTTCTCCATTTCAATTTAGTTATCATTATATGTTTTTTCACACGAATTAAGAAAATAATTATTTATTTTAATTATCTGTTTTACTTCTAATTAATACACTATTTTGTTTTGATATGCGTAATTGATTAGCTAAAAATTAGAGATAAAAATGGAATTTTTTTTTCATAAATGTACATTAAAAATACAAAATAATAAGTAATATCTTATTATATAAAGGAGAATATGCACGATGAAAACGCGACACATAAG